GCAGTCGTAAATATCTTGGGCGCACAAGTAAAACGCCTATTCTCATGCGTCAATGCGGCGCATGCGCAGAAAGATTTTAGCTTTGAGGTCCGGATTATAGATCATTCCGGATTATGGGTGTCCGAATTAACGACTTTTGACTGTAGTACCTTCTATTTCTTGAAGTTATTAAAAGGTATACAAGAGCCGGATACAGTTAACGCTATGTATAGCATAGGGACTGGACGCAAATGCTGCCAAGTTTGGCAACAAAAATTAGTTGGCAAAACCATTGCTGGCTTGGCAGTATCACCAGTTTAGCAAGATAGCCTTACTCAGTGTTAAATAAACTTGCCCCTGTATTCTTACCTTTCCAGCAAAACTTTGCTTCTTTAGATTTTAATGTTAAATTTAAAAATAAATAAATAAAACTACTATTTCACATTTTTCAGTAAAGTTATATATATACGAGGGTTGGAACTTTAATAGTGGCAACTATTTATTTATAAGGAATACAAAAGTGATTCATGTCACCATGTTTTACAGTCCTTCAATATAATCGCTAGCATTGTATACAACCAGTTTCCAATGATGTTGAAGTCGCAGAATACCTGTAGCAGCACCTGTTTTGTTGATAGTTTGAATGAATCGGTCTACTGCCTCAAGAATCTCAGGAACAGTTTGGAAGTGAGTGCCACGAAGCGGTTCCTTCATTTTAGGAATTAAGTCATAGTCACAAGGGCTTAGATCTGGGGAGTATGGTGGATGATAAAGCACTTCCCACCCTCATCGCTTGAACAAATCAGTCACAGCTTGCGCTGCATGGGGCCGAGCGCTGTCACGCAAAATGAGAGGAGCCTTCTGCAGAAAGTGTCGCCGTTTTTTTCTCAAAGCTGTTCGGAGATTGTGCTCCAGCACTGTCACGCAAAATGAGAGGAGCGTTCTGCAGAAAGTGTCGCTGTTTTTTTTTCTCAAAGCTGTTTGGAGATTGTGCTCCAAAAATGAGCAGTAATACTGCGCAGTGACGGTCTACTGTGGGGGAATGGTATGCGTTAGGATGACACCATCACAGTCGTACACGAGAATCACCATAACTTTCACATTGATGGGGTTCTGACGAAATTTCAAACGTCGTGGTGACGCCGTTCGTTTGATTGGCGTTTCAGTTCTGGCTGGTACGATCGGACCCAAGTCTCGTCCAGCGTATTCATACGGCGTATTTATTTTTAAATTTAACATTAAAATCTAAAGAAGCAAAGTTTTGCTGGAAAGGTAAGAATACAGGGGCAAGTTTATTTAACACTGAGTAAGGCTATCTTGCTAAACTGGTGATACTGCCAAGCCAGCAATGGTTTTGCCAACTAATTTTTGTTGCCAAACTTGCCAGCATTTGCGTCCAGTCCCTATGCTATACATAGCGTTAACTGTATCCGGCTCTCGTATACCTTTTAATAACTTCAAGAAATAGAAGGTACTACAGTCAAAAGTCGTTAATTCGGACACCCATAATCCGGAATGATCTATAATCCGGACCTCAAAGCTAAAATCTTTCTGCGCATGCGCCGCATTGACGCATGAGAATAGGCGTTTTACTTGTGCGCCCAAGACATTTACGACTCGCGCTCTTCTTCTTCGCGCTCATAGCGCTTCAAGTGGGTTCGGGCAGCATAGTATTGTAGCCATTTCTGCATTTCCGTCAATTGATGTGGAACCCATCATGAAGCAATTTTTCTCATGGACAGGCGTTCCTTCAGAATGTGCAGCACAGTCGTATGCGCTAATCCTGTTTGTCCGGCCAGCTGACGAATCGTTTGGCAGCAATCACTGTCCATTAGTGCAGCAACAGCTTGCACGTCTGCATCGCTGACACTCGAACGACCTGGGCGCAGCATGTCTGCCACGTTTTGGCGTCCTTCATTGAATGCTTTCACCCATCTTGCTACGGTTCTGTAAAGCAATGCAGATTCCCCACAAGCCTCTTGAAGCCCTTGATGACACTGTCATGCTGTACGACCACTGGCACATTCAATTTTTATCCAACATCATTGTTCTTGTTTTGAAAACATCCTGACAACACTTACTTTAAACCACGAGCTAATACAAGGATCCATTCTTCGCGTCACTCCGCATGCGCGTGACGTAGGCAGGACGAATCTTTTTGCTGAGAGGTAAGGTAGGTATGTAGTTCACGTGTGGTATACGCGATATTCTTTGGTTATGTTGCGTAGCGTTTTTTCAGCTGTGTTGCCACTATTAAAGTTCCAACCCTCGTACATATATACAAAATTCGTAACTATTAATATAGGCTGCTGGCCATTAAAATTGCTACCCCTAAAGGCTACATGCTGGGATTATACAAATCATTAACATTCTAGTAATGTCCACAAAGCAGGTATGATGTAATGTCATCTGCATTATAAATAAATGGGATGACTGCACATTCTCGTGGGTTTCTCATTTGGAAATCGCTTTTCAACATTGGTTGTTTCTGTAAAGGTTGTGTTATACCTCAAGTGAAAAGGAGGAACTCCTATGAGCTATTCGACTGTGGCAGGATCGTGGCCTATCCAGATTTCAGTTTATCATTCCACAACACTGCTGCTCATTTTAGTCCTGTGACTGTCAGGTGAATATGGAATCGATGAGTCCAAGAGGATCATACTGAACGGCATGCAGGATCTCAGCTGGTTCGGACCTCAGACACCTGAGAGGACTCGGCAGAATCATACAGCCACATCACATACCATGCTTTAGGAACTTGGCTTATATGCAAAATGGCAAGTGTCTGCACATACAGTGTGATGATATCTGCAACACTACGGACTGTCAGCATAGTGGCCATTGTTGTGCTTCCCTTGATGCTGCAGCAGAGACAGGCAGTGGTTTATTAGATGACAACAAATAAGTGGCATCATATGTTTTCAAACGAATCCTGATTCTGCATTCAGCATCACATGTATCCGTGTGTTGAGTTACCAAGTAGAACAAACATTACAGCTTGCGTGCTTCGTCATATGAGCCCAGCACCTGTTATTTATTGAGTACATATCTAGGTCTCCTTTTGTTTGCATAAGCAGTAATGTGGAGAGCCAGAGCAGCATTTCTTATGCATTAAGAATCTGTGGCTGTGCCCTATCTTTGAGGCCTGTATGATGACATCTTTCAACAAAATGCCTGACTGCATGTTGTCCTGACATTCTTCAATGCAAAGGGTTGTTCAACTATTGCCCTGGCCAGTATGTTCTCAAGATCTCTCATCCACTGAGAACATCTGGTCATGTGTTTCAAAGACACTGACACACCATCACTCACCATCCACTTCAACTGATAAAGTCTGGCATAGTGTTAAAAGCTGTATAAAATGAAGTACCCATGCCTGTCACCCAGGCTCAGGTCACCTCGATGCCCAGCCAGATTCTAGTCACTGGTTACAGCTTTGTGTACTTAATTCTGCATACTCTGTACCTCAAATCACTTGCAAATTTAATGATGTTTTCCTCCCATTATACTGTATATGCACATTAAATAAGATTCTGCTGTATTCTTTCCATCCTGATGGAGCCATTTTAACGGCAACCAGTTTATTGATTGTGAATTTCTTTTTTTTAAATGATTTGTCCAGCAAGATAGCAGCAATACCCTTTTTATTGCCCATGCAAAATAAAATAGAAGCCTATTCATTTTTTTAAAGTGCAGTAAATCTTTATCAGATTTTTTTGCTTAGATATATTATAAGATGGGATGTTCTTCATTCTCACTAATCTGAAAAAATATTACATGAATTTTATAATGATCAGTGGATAATAAGATTTTAAGTGGAAAGTATATGAACAAAAACTGTTTTAAATGATTGACATTTCAAAATTATACTTATTATAAAAAGTAACTACCAACATCTGCCACTTAAAAGAAAATGTTATTTCATGAATAATGACTAAAAGTATAATAAAGTATTTGTAATTAGACATTATAAGAGATACAGTAATTTAGCATCTGCGACTATTAATATCAATACAGTAGTACCCCTGTATCCCCAGGTAATACATTCCAAGACTTATTGTGGATAATAGCCAATACTGTAAAGAAAGAAATTTGTATAACATACATAATTTAATTGATAAATTTAATATTGTACTAATAAATAATGTAAAATTTGCTGTAAACTAAAGTGTATTGTCTTACTTATCTATGAAAGTAAAGGATTCAGAAATCTTAACTTTATCTTTAAAAAATGAATGAAGAATGATGAAATGCATTTCTCATACTGTAACGACATAACTACTGCAATTATATCACTTAAGAATGCTAGCAGTCTTCAAGCACTTATAGCATTACTAGTCTTAAGTTTTTTATGGCAAACAACTTTTAAAGAGCAAGAGAATGGCAATAACATATTGCTAATGAAAATTGAATAAATTCTAGAAGCAAAAGTGGAAGAAATTTAAAAAGAAAGGGTACGTAAACAAAGATAAGTTGATCTGTCATCACTAGTAAACAAAATCCCCTACCAAAATATTTATGATCCTCACATTGGTTTGCAATTAAGAGAACTTCTGTAATCTGAAAATATACATAAGGTCTCGTAATGAACATTTCTCTTTTCCGTAATTAATACACTGCCTCGAAACAAACATGCAGAGGTATGGAAAGATAATACTGATGTGTTTGAGATTCTGTTATTTCAGCTTTGTTATAAACTATTGTACTTAGTTGAATTTCTAAACTAACCACTTATGAAACTTAAGCAGTCCTCTCACCACCAATCTTAACCTTTTAAATAACACAACTTTTATCATTTTTTGCTCTTAAAAATCATAAAGTTATTTATATTAACATATTTTTCAAAAAGATACATGTATGTTTCTGTTTATGTTTGTGAAAGGGCAATTAATTTCAGTTTTTATATATTTATGAAAATGTAGTTTGTATTTTAATCAAGTTGACGGCAAAAACACTAAGCATGCATTTTTATTTTTATCTGCTACTTTTGTCAATTATGCTTACAAAGTAATATTTTATAGGTATATTATGTACTGGAAAATTATTTGCTAAAAAAGTGGAGATCCCAAGAATGCTAAGCAGTGCTGTATTTGCAAGTAAGCATCTATTTCCTGGTTCTGATGAGTCATTGCTGAAAATAGCTAATACTTGCATTTATACCCAGCAAAGAGGATTTATATATAAAAAAGCAAGTGAAGATCGTCAACTTTACTTTATACACTATGCAAAGCCTAAAAAAAGAACAAAAAGAAGGCACCCACTTGACAGTAAACCTCAAATGAAAGGAGTTGTTCTTAGAACACTGGTAAAAAAACCTAAAAAACCCAATTCTGCAAATCGAAAGTGTGTGCGTGTTCGTCTGTCCAATGGAAAAGAGGCTACAGCATATGTTCCTGGTGAAGGACATAATTTACAAGAACATAATGTTGTACTTGTTAGATTTGGGCGTGTGAAAGATGTACCTGGTCTAAGACTCAAAGTTATTCGAGGGAAATATGACTGCCCTCATGTAGTGAAGAAAACGGCTCCTATTCGTACTTAATATAGTATAAACAGCATTTGTATCTTTGCATTTTGTTAGCATGATCTATTATTAAAGATTCATTTAAAAATTCAGAATATGTTTTTCTTAGTACTTTCACTGTCTAAGATTGATAAAAAGGGTTAATAATTTTAAAAAATATATGCTCAAGTATACATTAAACCAAAAAATGCACATTCTTTTTATTTCTATCAATGTTTACAAAGGATGCATCAATAAAAAGGAGATAAATGTTGTGGTCCTTGTGTTAATATTGTATTGCAGCAAACTGTTCGATAATTCTGAAATTAAGTAGCAAAACAATATAATAGAAAATTAGCTTTAAAAAGTTAAAGCCCTTTTTTTTTAATAAGTCGATTTCTGAACTGGTGCAGTAGTAAAACTGGTTTGCAGTTATATATATCACAGGTAGCTCTAGCACTGTCTGAGTCTTTGCGATAGTAGATAGCCTAGTCTTTGCAAATACTATGTAACTTAGTCAATGCAAGAGGCACATCACGTAAATGAAGCAGAATTAAAGGCTGGCATGATGTCTCCGTATGAACTATTACTGTCTTCTGCATTGCGATGATTTGGTGATTGAATGGGTCTCTCACCACGCACTGGAACGCTCTTTGGCACTGCAGAACTGTGTTTACCTGGAGGACTTGCATGTTGTGGGCAAACAAGACTAGTTAAGGTAGGATGGATTGAATAATCTGCTAATTCATCCTCATCAATAGTTGAATAAATATTTTCTTGTGAACTACTTGCTGGGAATGTCACTCTGTCATCATGCCCATGCTTCATCATCCAGGGTGCATTCACAGGCACTGATGTTGTATTTAAATGAGTCTTTGCATTTGTAGTGGGAACAGGAGGTGCAAAAGAAGATGAAGGAATGCGAGATGGAGACATACGCTTTTTACTGTCTGTTAATGGCTTGGAATGTGATTGATTACCCAGCATAAGTCCAGTAATTCTTTGGATAGGTGCCAAAATATTAGCAGTCCTTTCTGGAAGAGGATATGTTGGAGCATTTTGCTGATGACTGTGAGGGGTTTGCATAGGATTTCCCCTTCGTTTTTCTGAACTGATATCTCTTGGTATACATAAATGCCTTGGATAATTAAACGAATTATCACCAAGTGACATTTCTGGTGAGTCACTGATCATATCATCCTCTCTCACACCTTCATCACTAGATACAGTGTCTTTACACAAGTCTCCACCTGTTGATCCTCGAACACTACTAGTTGCTGAGCACTGTCCACTACCTTCTCGACTTGGGTATTCGGCAACACTAAATTCATCTTCTGCAAAATCATCTTCACTTGTCACGCTGTGACCTCCTAGTTTACCGCTTTCTTCAAAATCAGATTCATAGCTTTTGCCAGTGATAGACTTATCACCTGATGGTGCTTGACAGACTTCTTCATAAACAGGATGGAATGTTTTTCCACTAATAACTTCACCTGCATTTCTGTTAGGATAAAATGAAGACTGATGTAAAGTTGATATTGGTAGAGGGCCCATGTCGCCCAACTTCACATCCAGTATCTGTAATATATAAGAGTAGATATTAATTTCAATAGGATTGAATTATCTATTCATTTTGAATTTTCCATAGGTATAACTTTTAAGAATGTTTAGATTTCCAGGGTGTCTAACAATAATATATACAAGACATAACAAAATTGATGGTCATAGCCAAAATTTCTTAGCTGAAAATTTTCAACTCTTTGTGCAACAAAGCCACTAGATACAGAAATGACCAATCCGAAAGAGGAATACCCAACATTATTAATGACCTTAGTAGAGATTGGGGGCAAAGTGATATTATTAGCTGTGTTGTAGGAGGAAAAATAAAGGATTAGAAGGTGAAAATAAAAACATTGCACAGAAGAAAAATTAAATTTATTTAGCAGAAATACTGCAGAGAAGTGGCTGTTTGCAAAATTTAATTAAAGTTACATTAAAAAAAATAATAATATATCAACTGCCAGTTTTTATATTTTTAACAGTAACTCAGAAAAGCCTGCTTTATTGAAATTTAAAAAGAAAAATTACTTACATATTAGATGGTATTTCCTATTAAAATATATCTTAACTGAAATTTAGTATTGTATTTCTATTAAAATAATATCTTAACTAAAATTTAGTATAGAGTAAAAGATGCAATTGCATCTTTTACTCTATCTTTTACATCTTTTACTCTATCAGTACTTATAGTACTTACAGTACAAAGTCTTTAATCCAGACTCGTCAGGACTTTCGGCGATTCCGGATTAGGGGTTTTTCCGGATTATAATCATCAATTTAAATCTGGTAAGATGGCATGCAGAAATTATAAAATTAAAAATATATAACCATAATTTATGAAATAAAGAGCTTATGATCTAAAGGGTATCAAAATTTACAAAAAAAAAAAAGCTTAATATTTATTTGTTTACTTTATTAAACATTTCTTTCAATTTAAGTTGTTTAAGTTGCTTCGTTTTATGTGTTAATACTTTCACTTTAGACATAATTTTTTGTTCAGTTACAACAGTTACAAAGTTTCACTGTTCAAGTCCTGTAATTGCTGTGCCGAGAATACCGATTAACTTGTCAATCGTAATTTTTTCGTTTTCACTAACCTCTCTGTCACTTTCTTCATGCCTTTATCCATTTTTTTGCAGCAATTCCACTTTGTTTGATGGACATCGAAACATGCTTTCGCTTTGTAGATCCCTTGGCAACTCCAGAATCGGAAACTCTTTTTTACATAATCGAAAGTTCAAGCTTACTTTTTATAAAATTGCTCTAACAGTCTGCAAAAAATAATAAGCTGGATCCAATTAGAAGATTAAGGAACAACGCAATCTGCAACATTAACTGAATTAGATAATTTTAGCCTAGCTTATACCGTCTGTTATACATCAAATGCACATGCGTAAACGCTATGCATGCGCAGAAAGTCTGTAGCTTTGAGGTACGGATTATGGACGTCCGGACTAAAGACTTTGTACTGTAGTATTATTATACATTGATATCCTTCTATTGTGGATTTACTTCATAACTCAAAGGAAGCTTTCAAGATTTTTCTTTTCTATTTGTAATTTCTGCAAGATTTTCTGTGAAATCTGTGATGTTACTACTTGAAATCCACACATTTTCTTGCATATTTTTCATATTAGATGGTTAAAAAAATGTCAATCAAGTTATATCAGTTAGACTAGCTGTTATTCTAGAGCTAACAGTTCATTTTTCAATTAAAAAAATCTCTTAAGACTTTAAAAGCAGCAAACTACTAATTTGCAAGACAATCTTCTGCATTGCTGTAGACCTGTATGTTAGTAAGCCACCTGGGGGTAACTAAAAAAAAAATCCAATTGAAGAATACAGTATGTGCATAAATAAGAAGTATTAACAGAAATAGGCATCATGTTTATGAGCTATATGCGTATAAGTCAGAATTAAATAGACACTTATTTACAAAGTTCGATTCACTGAGGCAAAGAAGATATGATTTAAAGAAATATTCCTTAAAAAACTTTTCTTGGTGTCAAGATTTGTTGCATCAATTATCATTGACTTCTCAAAAATTATACCGTTATTTAGTTCATGGGCATGGGGTCTCGAAACTCAAATTGCATGCAGGCCGAATTAACAGTCTGAAAACAGTGGGCCAGACCCCCTTTTTTTGAACAAAATGAAAATATTTCATTATTAAAATTTAAAAAATTCTGATTTTTAAAATTTTGGTTGCTAATTTTATCAAAACATAATAACCAAAAAAAATAAATAAAATAAAAATAACAAAGTGAAAAACTCTGATTTATATCTATTTTCTATCTGAAAGTTTGGTACATCCAATACATTTTAATTGGTTAAGTCAAATATATTGACAGCTAAATATTAAACTTTTTAGAGTGAGTTATTTAAATTTTATAAGTGTGTTTATTTCTTGTTTAGCTTAAAATTTCAAATGATTCTAACATGTTTAATTAATTATTAAATAAACCTACTTTAAACTAAAACAAATTATGAAAACTTTCTAAGGTTTCCGAGAAAATTTTCTGAGTGGGACAAAACTTGAGAATAAATAATGACATTTTAGTCTCTTTCTCTTTTATTGAAATTTTCTGTGATGTGTAAGCAAACATGCATATGTCTGTGTGTAAATAATTATAAACTTCTTTATTTCAGTAGAGCGTAGCATTTGATGATGATTCGATTCTGATAAACTTTATAGCACTGGAGAGAAATAACTAGAAATTTTTTTTTTTTTCCAAAAAAAGCTGTTAACATTCAAATATATTCATAAACAAAGCAATTTTTCTTAGTGCAGAAATTTGTGAAATGCTTAACTGAACTTTGTTTATTGACATGTACAAATAAAATATAATCAAATATGCATCTTCAAATTCTTCAATAAGATTTATGTCACAGCATAATTTAATCAGCTCCATTTATAAATTTTCTGGTGTGTTATTATCATTCATTTTAACAGTAATGTAAACTCAAACTGAAATGTATTTTCGAGCCACATAAAATTCTTTTAGGGGCCACTAGTTTGAGACTACATAGTATTTAGATTCAGATCATTACAAGTACATGCAGAGATGCACATCACTGCACCAAGAGTGAATGGACAAACACTATGAAAAAATCAGCTGTATAGGAATTTAGGCTTGACACCTACACACACAGTGTCTTTCTATAAATTTCACTAGAAATTCCACTTAGTGGGCCAACAATATCATGTAACAGCAAGAAATATTTCAATAATAATGAAGTAAGTGTTGAGTATATGGAATTGGCGTGATTTAATAAATAACTTTCATGTTTAACCCTTTTACTGTTAACTGCTCTAAGTTGAAGTTTTTCACATGAGCGGCCACAGAATGACTGACCAAATAAATTTAAGACTTCATTATTTCCTCACTACTAGGCAACGAACGAAATATGAATGAATTTCTGTGAGTGTTGGACATATATGACAGAAATAATTTTTGAGCATACATATGAGAGAGCTGTAAACAACCAAAGCATTTGCTGAGTGCACATTTGTGTCTGTAGTCTAAACCAGTGGTTTTTGATTTTTGATGGATGCATATATGCACCCATAGCAGTCAAAGGGTTAATAGTGATTACAATAGGATCTATTTACTCATATTCGACATACCTCTAAAGGCATAAGAGTTTGGCTCCCGCCAAGGTGTCCCTGTGGTATCCTTGTAGGATGATGGTTGATCAGCACGTCTTCATATGTAACACCATTTGCTGCTCCTATGTCTCCTAGATGACCTGGTTGTTCATTTTTACAAGGCAGAAGGTTCTGGACTTTTGTTTTATGCCTGAAAAGTGAATAAATGTGATTGATAATTTTAAACACTTTTTAGATGTTACACATTTTTACTTTACTAAGATTAACTTTAGACTTAAATTCAAGATGTATGAAACTCTGATAAGCAAAATGTATGTAATCGATTATGAACTAGTGAGAAAGCTGTAAAATGCATATATTTTTTCCATAAATACTGTAAGCTTAGAAGCCTTAAATTTGGAATATCTTTGTTTTAATCTTGAGCAGTGACTGAACTTATAAAGATTTTGCAATGCAGAGAAATTACAGGGAAAGAAAGACGCATTAAAAAAATTAAGTTGATAATTCTTTTGCTAGAACTGAATTTTGAAACAATTTCAACAAAAAAATATATAATTCTAAAGTTATTTTTGAGAGTACTGATTTTTTTTTAATTAAATTTGAAACAGCATATGATTTCTCTGAAATGGGAATTATTTCCCCACTTTCAAAACAGGATGCCTATTCTGAATCCTGCCCTTTAAATAATTACTAGATTTATAAGACATGCTACTCCTACCTTCGTAGCATGTCTTCGTGGTGTAATGGTCTGCACACTGAGAGGTTCGAATCCCAGCGAGGGCATTGCACATTTCTTCGATTTCCTGCTTCAAAATAATCCTAATGACTATATTAGATTTTGCATCTATGACATATACTAATGTAATAAAATACTAGAATACATGACACATATTATTTTTTAAGGTTATGCCATAATAAAATTGATTTTTACCCAATTTTGTTGTCAGCATCGTTGCCCCCCCCCTAGCAAAAAAATCCGTATTTATTTTCAGAAATATTCTTTTAGCCATAAACATAACAAAATTTTGTCATAAAGGAGTAATAGATGCTGTATTTAATAAGAAATAAAAATAAGTTCCTACACAAAGATAATAATATAATTATTATCTTATTAATTCTTAATAGTATCTCATTAATTCTTTTAGACTTGATCGATTTATTAGCTTCCCTACTTTTTATGGTGCCACTGTTTCCGGGCTCATATTGCTCTATTTTAGAATAATTTTTTACGTCAATTTGCTGTTTCTAACAAGTATTTTGTGTTCTTGTTGCTTTGTATCATTTACTTTTTTACGCGAGTTGAGAATATCGTCGTTCATTTTTGAAGAACTCGTAATATATTGTGCATTTAAATGTTTGTGAAAAAATAAAATAAATCTAGATTTTCAAATGGAAAAACAGCTAGGATTGACAGAGCGGAAAAGTGATGATTTACAGGTGATGGATACAGGATAATCTACTAGCACTATTGAAAAGGAAAGGAGAATTGTTCATAGAAACTATAGTGAAATAGTGTCATCATTTGGTGTTTACTTGGAAAGAAGATAAAATGGGCTCTCAACCTCAGTGTGTTATTTGCGGTGAACTATTATCCAATTAAAGGATGAAACTATCGTTTCTTAAAAGACATCTTGAATCTAAGCGTGTCAAATTAAAAATACTTTTTAAGAGGAAATTATCGGAGTTCAAAAATAGTATACAAATAATGAAATGTTTTGTTACTTCCAGTAAAAAAGCTTTGGAAGCTAGTTACCTAGTAAGCCTAAGAATTGCCAAGACTCCTGGACAAGCTGACACTATTGGAGAAAACCTTATATTACCTTATATATATATAAATGTTATACCAGGAGCTAAAGATATTGTTTTAACATTATTCAATGAAAAAGCAGCTAATGAACTTAATAATGGCAAATTCCGCAAAAGAGTCACTTATTCAAAAAATAAAACACCGTGAATATTTCGCATTACAATTGTATGAAAATACTGATATAACGAATTTAGTTCAATTATTAGTTTATATACCGTTCAAAGAACATAAACAAATTGTCTAAGATAATTTATTTTGTGAATTTCTTCATGATAGAGCAACTGCAAATTAAATTTTCAAAGTAATTGACAATTTTATGTCTGAGAAGCAGTTATCCAGTTACGGAGCTCAGGCTAAACATTCCGGTGTTATTTCTCAAATAAAGTAGCATCTGAAACTAAATTTACTCACTGCTCCAATCATCGTGAAGCTTTAGTAGGCAAAATAATCCGTGAAAACCTTTTTGAATCAAGCTGTGAAAATTGTTAATTTTAATAAAATTAATTTCCGAGCGTTAAATTCAAGAATATTTACGATTTTATGCCAAGAGATGGACAGTGAACATTTAACGCTATTGTTACATTCCAAAGTAAGGTATTTATTCAGAGGCAAAGTTTTAAATCGTCTTTTTGAACTTCAGAAAAAAATCGGAAATTCAAATTTACCTTTGTGATCCAAAATTGAAATTATTTAGTGATTTACGGTTGGCACATTTAGCATATTTAGCTGATATTTTTGAAAAGTTAAATGAACTAAATTTAGGATTACAAGGACAAAGTTCTAATTTGTTTACCATAAGATATAAAATAAATGTAATGATAAAAGAAACTAGAGCTAATAATCAAAAAATTGAATAACAAAATTTTAATCTTTTTACCACTTTTAGAAAGTTTTAAGTGAACATAATTTGAAAATAAAAGAAGAATTGGCATCAGACATTAAAAATCATTGCTTTTCGTTGATAAATAATTTCAATGTTATTTTTCCCAAGGGTTATAAAAAAGAAAATTGGATAAGAAACCCATTTTGTTCTAATGTACCTGAAATTTTATTATGTGAAGGAAAAGAACAATTAATAGAAATTTTCTGTGATCAACCTCTTAACTGAAAATTTCAAAAATAACACAGTTTTAACTTTTAGCTGAACCGGGAAAAAAATTAAAAGTCATTTTAAATAAAGCTATTAAATTTTATTGCCTTTTTGCACAACCTATTTGTGCAAACAAGGATTTTCTTCCATGTTATATCTGAAAAATAAATACAGAAGAAAACTAAAAGTGGATCCTAATTTAAGGTTAAAACTAAGTGAAATAAGACGAGACATAACGAAATTACCTCTCTTAAACAGGCCCAAATTTCACACTAAATTTTAGAATTAAAGTATTATAACTTAAATTTTGATAATTTAAATGATAATCAATTTTTCATCTAATATTTGTTTATATGTGCATATTTAATGCAAATAGACAATAGGTTGTGCAAATAGGAAAAAAATTAATATTTCTGTTGAGAAACTGAAAAATAATCAATGTAAAATGTATTGTTGGTACTAAAGGTTTTAAATTTTTGTTTAGATGGTACGCGCTAGTCAAAAGGTTGAGAACCGGTGAGGTAGACCATTATAAACAGGATTCTACCGAAAATAACAATAATTATTCATGCACCACTGCTCCTCCTCCTTACGTACAACTATTCTTTAGCACTAAGCGTCGTTAATAACCCTTAATGCGCTCCAGTATCCTCGTTGTTATGCTTAATAATTAATAACCAGATATAATTTTAACGTTATTTATGATCGAAACGGAGTTGATTGTATGCAGTGTATTGTTTGTAGTGATTGATATCTTGTTAATTAGTAGAAGATTCATGCAGTAGTATTTCTGCACATTAGGTACATGAATCCTTCCAGTATGCAATAATATTTCTGATCTTATATATCCACTGATATTGCTTTAAAAACTTGTTAATTATTACTGTTATATTAACATATATAATTTAATAAATTAGAAGTTAGTTAACAATGCAATGTTTTCATGTAAAAACTGAAAGAAACACGATGTTCACTTCCACGCCTGTCGAATTAATTTCTACCTTTTCGTTGCCCTGCGTTGGCAACACGCTTTTGAGATTTGTCGTTCGTAAGATTCGGTCGCTAAAAGCGTAGTCTGTACTCCTGAATTATTATTAAATGTTTACGTGTGAATGTTTTATTATTAAATGTATTCAGTTTGGTTGAAATAGACCGAGAGTGACTGAATTTATTAAGTATAATCAAAGTCGAAACTGCGTCATCCATGTCGGCGCCATTCTAATACGAGGTACGTAAACATCATTCTGGAGGCACGGCGGCGAGATTCAGGTGGAATTCGTCAGCAGTTCAAGTACAGATAAGTGATTTTTTAGCTCGATTTACATCTAAATTTGATTCTTGAAGTTTTATATCTATTTTGTATTGATTTTGATTTTGAACTTGAATACTTCGATTACTGTCATTAGATTACATTGTCATTACTACTGTCATTAGATTGCGTGGTAGGGCAAAAGCGGCTCTTCACAAGGCTTCAGAATACTATTTCTTCCGATTTATCTAAAAATGAAGTAATTTTGCATCTGGAGCGCTTAGAAAGGATTTATTCAGATTTTGATAAATTTGATGCCCAATTACCAGAAGAACAGTCAGAAATTGAAGATTTTGAATCGAAGTATTTTGGTTTGAAACTTCAGTATCAAAATTTGTTAGATGTATTGAATGTGGCTAATGTGCCAAATGTTACAGGAAATTCTAATATTAGTAACTTTAAGTTACCTAAGTTAAATATTCCTATTTTTTCGGGTAACTTTAATGACTGGATGAATTTTAAAGATTTGTTTGTTGCAATAGTGCATAATACTTCTTTATCGAATATACAGAAATTTCAGTATTTAATCGGATCACTTGCTGATGAACCATCTTCTATAATTAAGCATATTCCGTTATCAAATAATTCTTATGAGGAAGCATGGGCAAAATTGCTCGCTAGGTACGATAAAAAGAAACAAATCGTACAATCGTTAATTAAAACATTTATGGATCAAAAATGTATTTCACAGGTTGATAATGTTAATTTACGGCAATTAGCTGATACTTCCGATGAAGTTATCAGAGGTGTAAAAGCTCTTGGTGATGAAGCAACTTCTAGGGATCCATGGTTAATATTTATGTTGCTTCAGAAGGTAGATTCAGAAACTCGAAAGTTATAAGCACAGAAAACAGCGGAAGATGATTTTCCTACATTGGAATCGTTTTTTGAATTTTTAAATTTAAGGTGTTCTTCTCTCGAAATTGTCATAAATAAAGAAGCGGAAGCTAAAGTAATGTTAGTTCTAAAACATTACAGAATTCT